GCCAAGGCAAAGGCGATTTACGCAGCGTGAGAGGGAGAAGAGCTCTTCCGCTGAAGTCCGGCGAAGGACCGGGTCATACGAGGCGGAAACCTCAAGGATCTGGGCACAAGCCACAATCTTGCCGGCGGCCTGCTTTCGTGGTAGTTCACGGAGTGGGCCCCTTCAAGTGTTCCCACAACGGCTGTCTGTACAGATGCATCGGATGCTGTTGTGAGGTTAGATTAGATGCGGCTTAGGTTACCGAGAGCGTCGACAGGCCCCATCGCTCCAGTTTCAAAGCGACAAATATTGCCAGATATTGCCAGTTAGAGTTGTGTTTTTTCCGTCTTAAGCCCTGAACTGCACCCGTATCGACACTCGCTAAGGCCCGACACCCCGAAGCGTGAACTCTAAAACCAGCATGCTCGGGCAAGACATGGCCTTCTTTAAAGCTTCCATCCTGAGCTCGTCCTGAAACGAGATCCTTAGCTTCAAACACAAGAGATCACTTCGACCCTCCTGAGTGGCGTCAGGGTGATTGCAAAGATTGAGGGTTCACAGCTTAACTTTCATCCTCGATAGCTCCAAACCACGTTTTTGGCGAACCTTCTACGTACCAGAAGGATCTACGTTTGAGCCTCCAAGGTCTCCGCGAACTCGGCGAAGAAGACGCCTGTGCTCAAAGATTCTGGTGCGCCGGTGGTTGGTCAGCTCGCGCTGCCCCGGCTTGAGTTTGCGGCTTCTGTGACTGCGTCGAACGGTTCATATGAAGACGGAGATGCTGAGATGGTCAAGACAAATATGACGAAGCCGATGCTGAAGAACTTGCTGACGGTAATTATGCGGTTGGGTTTTGAACAAAAGGGGGGATGGGGGCGGTGGGCTGCTTGCCGTGATTTTGGATTTTGCGATTTGGAAAGCGCCCGGAACATCCCAGAGCCCAGGACCCCAACCTTGGAACTTGGAGGTGCACGAAGGTGAACCCCCCTTGCACCAAAGCCCCAAACGGCCCTAACCCCCAAACCCAAAGCCCCAAAACCGTGGAACTCCTGCCAGGAGCCTGGAGGCCTTCGTGAAGGCCGCGATTTTGAGTTTGGGCTGTAGGAGGCCTCGAGATTTGAAGTTTGTAAACGGATCTGACTCTAGGACTCCAGGCTTCAGCGTTTCTCGGGAGCCTGTTTGGTTGTTTGGCTTGGGAGAAAAGGACGTCAGAGGTAGCACCGGTGCGATCCAGCTCTAAACCCGTAGCTAGCAAAGCGTAGAGAACGAATTTCAGCTTTGTCCCTGCAAGACTCCTGAAGTCGAATAGACCATGCCCTGGATTCTCAGAACCCCAAAGCCCGAAACAACCGAAACGCCCTAAACACCCTAAATACCTAAAGCATCCTAAAGTCCAACTCCACGGGTCTGAGCAGCCTTCTGTTTTGGAGGCAGTCGCCTCAAAGTGCAACTTCGCTGCGACGCAGATGGAGCAAAAGGCTGCCGAGGCCGACTGGGTTAAGCAAGGAAGAAAGGAAGCACGAATGCACGAGAGAAATGACGGAGCGAGAGAGAGAGAAAGAAAGAGAGAGCAAGCAAGGGAACGACAAAGACGCAGACAAACATAGACCGTGATTGATAGCGATACACAAACCACCAAACGATAACCATACATGATCTGAAGAAGACAATAAAGTCAATAAAGGGCGGCTGTATTCTAAGGAGGGCTACCCTGATCCAAGCTTTAGCCCGATACTGCACCCAATTCTTTCCAACTCCCCCAACCTTACCCGCCAACCCCCCTCACCACAAAACGACCGACGACCCAAGGTCGCCAACGTCAAGCAGGGACCGTTGCTTTCAGTGCGGAATCGCCTGTCGGGGAACCCAAAAATGGACTTGGCTTTTGGGCCTTGTGGTTTTTTTGATTTATTAGAGGTCGCAGGTGGACGTTAGGACTTTAGGGTTGGGGTCGGGAGCAGGCTTGTAGGATTCGGTTTTTGCGACACAGTCCTCTGGATGCAGACGCTTGCCGACATCCCGGCATTCTGGGATGGAGTTTTGGTTGCTGGAGCGCCGCAGCTTCTGCGAGAGCCCGAGCAAATCCTCGAAGCATCAGTCGCGAAGTCCTAACCCTTAGCCCTAAACCAAACCTGACAGCCTGACAACCTGAGCCCAAACAAAACCCTAAACTGCAGATTTCTGGCTGAGGCTGGAGGTGAAATCCAAGCTCAACACGGACTGTCCACCAATCGCGAGCAACATCGGGGCCTGAATAGCTACGAAACAGTGCCTTAGGATTCCTTTACATATGTCTGCTATCGTACACCGCAAAACCGTGCTCTAATTGTTAGGGCTCCTTTTTTAATCGTGGTTTTTGCTAGGTATCCTAGTGGCATTAGATTTGGGATTTGGGGCACCGACAAGTTTTACTGGTTGCAGCGGTGCTTGAGCTGACTCGACAGCATTCGAAGAACCGTCTGGCATTGCCGCTTTACTGTGGATGTTACCTGGACCTTTTGGTGGCCTACCTGCGAACGGTTCGGTATTCCCCTGGAACGACAAAATTTGGGACTCCTCGACGATCGGTCGGCCTGGCTTAGGACGAGAACCCTTAGTTCCTGAACTCTAAACTCCAAAAAGGGGACTGAACACCCAGAAATCGAAGCCACAGCGGAGGAGAACGCGGGTATGGACGCGCTGAGAAAGAAGGTCTCAGATGCCAAGGCCGGATTTCAGACGGATTTCTCGGCAGCCCCGGGTAATTTCAAGCTCCTGCGTGCTTCGCTAGCAGGCCCTCCAGGAGTCCGCCATCAAACGAATATCGGGGTAGAGTCCCTCTGTAAACTGCCGAGAGCGCCGCTGACCATTTAACGACGCCCCGCGAATGACTTCTCAGGCAGTAAAGGAGGACCCCAAACCTCGCACTACCTGCCCAATTTCCCGAAAACTCGCAGGTTTGGGAACGCGCATTTTATGCAGAACTGCGAAAGGAAGCACAAAGCAAGAAAGCCTCCCTTGAGGGGGGTTTGGCGGGTGACCCCTAAACCCTAATTGAGAATAGGGGTGGTTGGGGCGAGATACATGTGGACGCACACGCACGCGAGCGATTAGTGGGTGCTTCCCAGTGCTTCCCTATTCCTAAATCAAAAGGCGCACCCACTGTGCGCGCACTGTATACACACCCTGAACCCCAAGGCCTAAACCGTGAACCCTGAACCAACCGCTGGTACCAGGCCGCTGCTGAGAAGGACAGAGAGGCCAACATCTGACATTGCGAGATGTAATATAGGGGCCTTCGTCTTAGTCTTAGTAATCAGGATTGAATAGGATTTGGGGATTTTTTCATTATACTAACGGACCTTGCAGCAAGGAGCACGGTCGCAAATCATTCAGGCCCCTGTACTGACAAGCTTCCAGAGCGATGTGGCGGTTGTTCCAAATGCGGGCTCCTAAGGGTGGTTCAGGTTTAGTACGGAACCGGAGCGGGACGGCAATCTAGGAGGGCCCAAGATCCCAGCCAGAAGAGCCCAAGCTCCAAAACCCCGACTGGTACGCTCGACGACCGTTTCTTGAAAGTTTGAGCCCCAAGGAATGCTGAACCCAACCCTAAATCTGTTCGGAAACTGACCACCAAACTCGTCATGGTCCTGACCACTAAGTTCTTAGCTGATTCCGTAAATCCACGTCCCCAATGCCCCAGGATCAGTAAGTGATGCCACACCCTGCAATATAATTTGTATGAAAGAGATGCTGCGCAGAGGGTCCCTCAGAAAGCAAGAGCGGTTGTCAGACCTGGCAGAGCCCAAAGCAGTCTCAGGCGGAGGTCCATGAGCTTCGCGAGGGACAGTGCAAGGAGGGGGCAATGGGAATGGGTGGTCTCCGGAATGCTTCCAAGAAGCCCTTCCGAATTTCAGGCGTGGGGTCTGGGTGTTTTTGGATCAATGGCTCCTGAGTGAGCGGCATGTATGATATGGTCAGTATCTGGTTGATTGCCATGCGCAATCATTCATCCTTCTGCCCATGCATCCATCCGTTCGTCGGTCCAGTCGCGCATCGTTTCCTCCCAATTCATCCGTTTTTTCGTTCATACGTATTGTCCTTTCCTTCTTTCCTTCCCTTCTTCCTTCCTTCTTTCCGTCCTTCCGTCCTTCCCTCCCTCCCTCCCTCCCTCCCTCCCTGCCTGCCTGCCTGCCTGCCTGCCTTCCTTCCTTCCTTCCTTCCTTCCTTCCTTCCTTCCTTCCTTCAAAGATTCAATCTTGCATTCATCGGTTCAGTGATTCATGCATCCCTTGCTTACAAGCTGCAACCCAAACCCCCGAAGCCAGAAACCCCAAGAGCCGAGCCCTTCGACAGTCTAAACGTCCCTCAGCCATCCGAAGCTCGAGCCACATCGAGGCCTTTGCTGAACACTCCGTGCGTCGCGGCAGCGATGCCGTGGAGTCCGCGGAAGCCCTCGTCGAGAAGGCCTGCCGAGAGGATCTCAAAGCAGGTTTCAACTTGGGGTGTATGGTTTGGTGGCCACCGTGGGCTGTTGAGGTATGCTGGACTACAGTGACTGCAGCTCCCAAGAGACCAAAACGGATCTCCAACCTACAAATAGGACCCTCGGCTAGAATCCCCAAAGACTTCTCAGGATTCTTGGATATGTTCAGGTTTTACGTTTTGTGGGCTTATGGCCTTCCCTAAAACGTGCAAACTCTTGCAACTAGTTTAGAAAGCCCTCCAGCCGAACCGGAAGCACAGACAACCCTTTGGACTTAAAGCTGCCAAAAACTGGCACACTGTTGCACCGCAACATAGGACAGTATGATAAGAATACGTCGACTACGACGACGACTGAGTAGAAACACTACTGCTGCTATTACGACTAGTAGTAGTAGTAGTAGTAGTAGTAGTAGTAGTAGTAGCAGTAGTAGTAGTAGTAGTAGTAGTAGTAGTAGTCGTAGTATAGTCGTAGTATAGTCGTAGTATAGTCGTAGTAGTTGTAGTAGCAGTAGTAGTAGTAGTAGTAGTAGTAGTAGTAGTAGTACTAGTAGTAGTGGTAGTGGTAGTGGTGGTGGTAGTAGTAGTAGTAGTCTACCAACTACACTTGCTCAAAACCATCTTAAGAGCACATCCGTTTTACTCGGTATTTACAGCACTTTCGTCATGTACGATCATC